GAGAAGCAACTCTGGCCTGCAGACCATAGAATGGCCACATGGAAAGCATATTAAGGGTGCAGTTCAGGGTATGATTCTGCCCAGCCCCTAATAACCATGGGCAAGAGAAATGGAAAGGAATTGAGACTGGAGGCAGAAAGAATAGAAAGCAATATTTAAAGCTGTTTGATAGACTTCCTTTCCTGTGTAAAATTTTCATATTAGGGAGAAATGCATGTGTTATAGAGGATTTCATGAATTTAGGGATTTACCAAGGTCTGAGTAATGCTGCAAAGTATGGTGATAACAGTCAACGATTGCTAGTAGTATGATCAAACAACAACAACAAGTGCCAAGTAGCAAAGATTATGCCATACAAGAGTCTGGAGATCTGAGTTTGTTCATCCATTTATTAATTTATTCAATCATTATTCATGCAACAAAATTGATTACTGACCGCATGGTGGGGGCCAGGCCCTATGACAGGCACTGGATTTAGGTTCTGTTTGTTACTTACTAAGTATGCAAACTTGGGCAACGCATTTACCATCGCTGTATAAGGAGGAAAAGAATCCTCATGTATAAGGGAGTGGTCTTCCCCATTAAAGGAAAAGACAAAACCCTCCATACTTTGTTCAGATATCTGGGTTTCCAGATGGAGAGGTGTGATAGAGTAAAAGGCCTAAATTCTGTCTCCTTGAGTTTCCTTTTCCTCATAGAGTTCTCACTTGGATTCCTCTGGCACACCCGAAGAGTCTGGAATGGTTTCTATCATCTGCTTCATGGCCTAGCAAAATCTCTACTTGTCCCCTAGGGCCCACATTAAATGTCAGAGCTCTGGAAACCTCCATTGACTCCCTACTACCTTAGCAAAATAAATCCCTCCCATCTGCCCCACTTTGAACACTCAGCTCATCAAGTTGTTGTGCAGCTGACTTCTCTGTGTGACTGGAAGGTGGGTTCTTCTGAGAAGCATGTTTTCTTCCCTCTGTCTCCCCAGTCTTTGGCTGAGTGTCTGGCCCAGAATATATTCTCTGTAGTTAAATGGATAAAAAGTCACCAGGCCAGCAGAATAGCTGACAAGTGACACTGTGGTGAAAGGAAGTCTGAACAGACTTACTGTGACTCAGAAAAAGACACCTCTCAACTAAGCTAGCTAAGAATATCAGTAACTACTCACTGAGGGACACTGAGAGACCAGGGGGCTTTGGGGGTGGGAGGTAGGGGTTTGAGTCAATGGAACTTGCTTGTAGAAGACAGAAGGGTGGTCAATTATTTATTTTCTTTAATAAAATTATATTACACCCCATATCTTTGTAAGTTAGAGGTAGATGATGGCTTACTGAACTGTCTATGCAGAGATGTGCCCAGGTCTTCAGATGGAAGTTTGAGCCTCAAATGACACACCCTTGAGGACTTTTGTGCCTTGGGCATCTCTAGCTCAGGGATGCTAATACTTTTTCTAATAGAATGTTAATAATTAAGGAACAAAGACATCCATCCTAAGTAGTGTGGTTGTTCCAGATATATCAAACTTATGTATCTTGCTATATTGCTTTTGCTTTTGTTTGTTTGTTTGTTTTTAAATAAGCCTTTGTTTGGTGAGTATGTGCTGTGTTGGTGCAGGCATTGTGCTAAACGTTTTGCATGTATTGTATAATTTAAAACAAATGTAGCAAAATGGGGGGAGCTGTTTTTATATTCCCCCTTGGAATACGTCTTGGGAAGAAAACAAATATGATTGCAAGCAATATTTTGATAGAGAATTTGAAGTTAGAGATGAGACTCCAAAAATCATAGTGAAGTAACATCAGATGACTGCTAAAAAAAAATTTTCTGATAGACAAGTGGATGCCCATTTAATGGCAGGGCTTCTGAACTGCTGAGCAGCAACATGACCATGGGCTGTGCAATGGTGTGAAAGTTTGGAGCAGGACTGAATTGTTCATAAATAATAGAAGAGAGGCCGAGGACAGTGTTCAGAAGGGATATTGGGGATTGTGAAAGTCCCACTGAAGGACATGTGACAAAACCTTCTCCATCTCCCCTAGGAAATCACCAGAAAACTCTTTCTTATTCCCTAATGCTCTTGGGAACATGAAGATTTGTTGGCAAGATAGAAAGAAAATCTGAGGTCAGCAAAGTCAGCAGACATAGGAGACAACCATAAATCTGGTGACATTTAATTCACAACCCAAGGAGGCAAAAGATATTACCTTAATTTTACAGGTAAGGAAATCAAGGCTTGGATAAGTCTGTTGTCCAACACACACAGCTGGAATGGCTGGGCAGCCATTCAGACAGGTTTGCTTGTTTCCAAAGCCTATAATTTTAACCCTAGAAGGTATTTCCCCCTATGATTCTATGACTGCTTTCTACTTATCAAAAGCTAGGTAAGTTTGATGATGTCTTTGCCTAATTTTATTTTAAGCCACATTAACAACAGAAAACATCATTGTACATAGCGTGGAAAGAGAGGAATACTTCTAGCCATGGGGTATAAATAGCTAACTGATCTCCTGTCTTCAAAACGGGACAGAAGTGAAACTTCAGCAGGCGGAGTGACTGCACGTGAGGGAAGAGAGCAGCCTCTTTGCACACATGGGCACACACTGCCGAAAATGAGATTTGAGTTGTTGCTGCCATAATCTCCACAAACGCCCACCATGGAATGACATCACTGCCAAAGCCCAATTAGTTCAGAGAAGACCCTGGCACTGGATGATATTGCTTCAAGATGGCATGAAATTCCAAATATAAATTGGGTCCGCACTGGGCGATGATTCAAGAAATCGTATTGGCCAGTTCACAGGACTAGAAATCCTTTAGACAGGCTTTGGAAATTGTATCACTCCAGATACAGACAGAGGTAGAGTTACAACCCAGACCTCTCAATAAACATCTAGAAAAAGAAATGCAGGAGTCCTCTGACAATGATGTGGTTATCATATCACGGATTACACTTACAGAAGATGGAGAAAAAGTTTATCAAGATGCATCGTCTTCTTAAGCTGCCTTATCTTTTCAGGAAAACAACTGTCAAACATTTAAAATAGTAAGAACTCCCCACATTTGAATTGCTCTTTACAGTTTGCTTGCATGTACTTAATTGGATCTTACCTCCACGACAGCCCACTAGGATCAATACAATTGTTGTTGCTATTCTATAGATAAAAGCCTAATGTTTAAGAGAGGTACATTTTGAAGGTTACTTGAGGGCAGAGATTTTGTATCCCTTTTCTTTGTGTCTTCAGCTTGTTTCCTAGGGCCTGACCTGTCACAGGATGCTACAAATGCCAACTGAATTGGATGGAATGGAACTGAGTGACCTGCCCAAGCCCAAAAGTCACAGCAACAGAACTCACAGCCCTGTGTTCATTCCTACCTGATGTGCTGTCACAACATCGGTCTAATGCTTACCATGTGCCTGTTTTGTGCCTGGGCATGTAAAAAACACTGGAAGTCCAGGTGGGCTGCATGTAATCATGAAGATCCGTGGAAGAAGTAGGTGGAAGAGAGAGCCAGAGAGACCACAGTGTGAGGAGGACTTGGCTCATCATTGCTAGTTTCGAAATTGGAGGAAGGAGCCATGAATCAAAGAATGCAGGCAGCCTCCAGAAAGTTAGAAAAGGCAAGGAAATGGATTTGTCCTACTGCCTTCGGAAAGAACACCACCCTGCAGGCATTTAGACTGTAACCCAGTGGAACCCATTTTGGACTTCTGACCTGCACAACTGTAAGATATTATTGTATTGCTTAAGTCAGTGGTCCCCAACCTTTTTGGCACCAGGGACCGGTTTCATGGAAGACGATTTTTCCACAGACCAGGGTGTAGGGGATGGTTTGGGGATAATTCAAGCACATTACATTTATTGTGCACTCTATTTCTATTATTACATTGTAATATATAATGAAATAATTACACAACTCATTATAATGTAGAATCAGTGGGAACCCTGAGCTTGTTTTCCTGCAACTAGACAGTCCCATCTGAGGGTGATGGGAGACAGCGACATATCATCAGACATTAGATTCTTATAAGCAGGACGCAACCTAGATCCCTCGCATGTGCAGTTCACAATAGGGTTTGCGCTCCCATGAGAATCTAATACCACTGCTGATCTGACAGGAGGTGGAGCTCAGACTGTAATGCTCACCAGCCCACTGCTCACCTCCTGCTGTGGGGCCTGGGGGTTGGGGATTCCTGGTGTAAACCACTCAATTTGTGGTAATCTGTTACAGCAGCAATAGGAGTAACGAAGTATAAGGTAGCAAAGGACTACTCTGATTCAAGAAGCATGATTCCTGCATGGATCAAAAACTGATGGTTTTCGTATCCTTCATTTTGTGTTTTACTTCCAAACATTTGCACTAAGAAAACAATCAGAATTCTCACGAAGGTTTATATAAGAATTTTCATTTACAACATTAAAAAGTTAAATAACAAGGGATTAATACCCAGCCACACAACCCAGTACTATGTAGCCATTAAAAAATACTTTTTTTGAAAAATATTTAATAGCATGGGAAAAGCTAATGATCAAGTTTAAAAAACAGGTTACAAAATAATACATAATTCCAATTTTATAAATGTTGAAATAAATATATCAGAATGTTAATGATGAAATAAAAATTTAAGGTAATTTCTTAAAAAGGTAATGATGGTTACCTTTGTAGGGAAACATTATGGGAGTTTCTTTGTTTCCTTACACGTTTCTGTATCTTTCAGAAATGAGCATGAATTACTTTTATAATCAGAAAAAGAAACAATTATGTTAAAAATAAAGCAAGCCCCTGAGGTAACAAGAGCCACAAAATTCAACAAGCCTTTGACTGAATAATCTCATTCATGAAAATATATCCTAAGGAAATAAAAGGCAAAAAAATCTTGTAAGTGAAAAGGTTTTTGCAGCAATGTTACTTACAATCATTTAAAATGGGAAGCAGCCTGACTATCCAGTAGTTTAATTATGATCAAACAAATTATAATATGTTTGCTTGATAGAATACTGTGCAGTCATAAAAATAATTAATACAAAGACTATCTAGAAATACAAAAACTACAGAACAGTACAAAGTGAAAAACTGAAGCACAAAACATAAAATATCTACAACTGTGATTATTCCACTTATGTGTGGATAAAGATAGAAAGAGGAGATAAAAATTATAAATAGGTGCTATGTCAAAGAATAGGGATTCTGAGAGTAATTTGTATAAAGTTACTTCAACAGTAGATAGAACAATTTCATACAAATAGACACCAGCATATAAGTCAAGAAAACTGAGGATGGAAGACTGGTTGAGAGCACTGGAATTATAATGACGGCAGAAGTAGAAGCAGTATCTGTGAGAAAGGGCACTGGGGACCACCCACACAGGGGCATATATTTTTATTTTTATTTATCAGCTGAGCAAATATTTCTTAAGCTCCTTTCCTCACATATGAGTAAAACTGAAATGAAAAACAAGAAAATGACAAACACAAAACTTAGCGTTTGGGTTACTTTTGGGGAGCAAGGAGAAGGATTTCATTGACAAGGGAAACACAGAGACTTACATAAGGATTGAAAACTTCTTAGTTTTTAAATTGGGTGGTGGGTACGTGAATATTCTTTTTTATTATTATTCTGATGCACTACAGGTACTTACAACCATGCTTGGCACACATTGGCTCACCAAAAAAGTTATCTGTAGAATGAATGAAGCTTTTCAGTGGCTCCTTAAATAAAGCTCAATCCTTTACTATGGCATACAAAACCCTTCAAGAATTGGCTTCTACCGAACCTATCAATTAACACCAATGACTTATCACCAAATCTATGGCAATTTCTGTTCATTATTCACTAAACACACAGGACTCTTAGGTGCCTCTGAGTCTTTGTGTATGCTATTTCTTCTGCCTAGAATGTTTTTCTTCACCAGGAAAACCCTACCCTCAAGGCCAAGTTCACCATAGCTGCTTTGTGAAACCTTGTTGATCTCCCTAATTGCTTTCTCTTCTGCATTCCCATGGTACTTGTCTTATGTGCTGCATCAGAACCAGTAGTGTGTAAATCTATGATAACTCTTACATTGGTGCTATTGCTCACACAGTCCTCTCAGTTCTATTATCCTTGCAGTAACTCTGTGAATTAGACTTCTTTAGTCCTTTCAACAGATGCAGAGGCTGTGTCCACAGGTCAGGTCAGATGACTCGCTGCATCCAAGTTGACAAGTAACAGCATAGAACTTCAATATTGGCCTTCAGATTAATATGGCCTTTGAAGGGATGGGGCTGCCAGAGCAAGAATGGACAGAAAGAGGCTGAGAGGCTAAAACTGAGGTCTCCAGTGATACCGTGAGCATATGCAAGATGAGAAAGGGCATTTTCATGAGAATTAGGATAGGCCATGAAGGTAAAAATCAGTATGGTTAAGGCATTTAAGTTATACTTGTAACGTAGAAAGTAGAATGGGATAAAAGAATGAGCACCAAAAAAAGTAAATGAATTAGAGAGAATAAATCCTACCTCTTACCAAGAAGGTTCAATATAGGAGAATAGTTTCTATGGTCTCTAAAGTAAGAAACATATCCTATTTTTCTTTCATTTTGAGTACCTAGAATACAGCCTGGCAACAGAAAGAGACTCAACATGTTGAATTAATTAATGAATGAAAGGATGTGTTATTAAGAAACACAATTAGTTTTTAGCTTTCTTGCAACTGTATCACTTTAGCCACTTAGCCCTATTAGTCCAGGGGGACTGAACATTCATTTCTTTTGTATTTAATAATTTAGATCCTAAAATACTTTTGGGTTTGCTCAAAGCGAAAACAAAATATTAATTTGTTTGAACCAGTTAACATGTATTTAGGTAGTAAAATAGATTTAGAATGTGTTAGACAAGAGAAATCTGCTCTATCTTTTATAATATTCTCAACATTTAAGACATACACAATACCTTATTTGAAATACAAAAAAAAAAAAGAAAAATCTTCATGCCAAAAAGGTGCAGATCCAAAAACCTATAAAACATGAAGCTTTGACTTGCCATGAAGAGGTGATTCTAATGAAGCTAAGACTAATGGAGCAAAAAGGACACTATTGGAAAACTCAAAGGCCCTTGAAACCATCCCATAGAACCCCAATGGCTGCCCACTTTTTAAGTCAATCCTATTATAGAAAGCATGTTTTTGGAAAATTGGTCATTAGGCAAATAGGCATTCAGTGAATTTGTTTCTTCAAATTAGTTCTTAGAGAATTAACCTTGGGCCATGGAACTATATTGAGACTAGGCACTGTGTGTGGTTTCACAGCCTGGCCTGTTGAGGCCATCAGTAGTTCTTGACTGACCGTGGTCCCGGGATATATATCAGGCAAAGTACAGGTCTACGTTCAGATACACTGATAAAAAGGCAGTGTTTGCAATAAGAATTGACTTAAAGGATGTGCCAAGAGGTGCCTATCATGGAAAGGACTAAGGGTCTTGCCCCATTTACTTCTCTCTATGCCTCCTCGTATGTTTTCTCTTAGCCAGGGAAGGGTGTGGACAGCAATTCCCATTAAAGAACCAGGGCTGGATCTCCCATATGACAGTTCATATATGCATTCACTCTGATGGACTTCGCCATCCCCTGACCCAAATCTCATTCATTCATTCAAAAAAATATTTATCACGTGTCTATACTCTGTTATAGGAGCTTGGAGATGCATTGGTGAACAAGACAGGCAAGGTATGAGTTCTTACTAAGCTTACATGCTAGAGGGAGAAAACAATAAGAAGGAAATACTTATTGCCTGGAGAGGATGAAGCCCGTGAAAGTCTTTGCTTCTGTAGTCCACAAGGTGTTTAGTCTTTATTCCATCATCTGGTGACATTAAACAAACACCTGCCACTAAACTAGACCAAACAGCAGACCTATTCAAACTCTCAGCAGTCCCTGGAAGAATTTGATTACTGGAGGTGGACCAGGGAGAATATCTTTATTTGGTCCAATTTCCAAATAGAAATTCGCAGTGTTTGATGAATAATGAATGTGAATAATTAATGCATCTGAGAAAGAAAAATTTCTTACCTGTCAGTTACTTATCTTGGAGATTACACATCCATCACTACTCCCCCGAGGGGCTAGACTCATCTCCATAGAAACTGGGGGCAACCTGAATGTTAATTATGCCTCAATGCCAGATTTCCTGCTCAGAATGTGACTCACCAGAAGACCTTCTAGGACTTTGTTCTGAAAAGTAGAGAATTTAATTTATCTGACATATTTTTTAAAGCCCCAAATAATGAAGTATCTTAATAAGCATAAGAAACTATCAAAAGTCTGGCTCTGCGTGTGCGCACATGTAGGAAAGTTACTGTGGTCTGAATGTTTTTGTTTCCCTCCAAATTCATATGTTGAAACCTAATTCACAATGCAATAGTATTAAGAGCTGGGGCTTTTGGGAAGTCATTAGGCCATGAGGATGGAGTCCTCATGAATGGGATAGGTGCTCTTAGAAAAGACGTTTGAGGGAGATTGTTCATGCCTTCCACCATGTGAGGATGCAACCAGAAGGCACTATCTGAGCCCTCACCACTACCAAATCTGCTGACACCTTGATTTTGGACTTCCTAACCTCTAGAACTGTGAGCAATAAATTTCTGTTACTTACAAATTACTCAGTCTAAAGTATTTTGTTACAGCGCTCAAGCAGACTAAGACAAAAGGATTACACAGAAGCACATGCATCTTCTGGGAAAGAGACTGATGAGAAGAAATACAGCCTTGATTTATTGGTAACGTAAGTGCCAGCACCTAGAGAAATGACTAACATGTTGTAGATGCTGACTGCATATTATTGTTATTTTTGAATGTTATGTGGAATGTTATTGAATGAACTACTAATTCTGTGCTGTGAGAATATAACAATTCTCATTTTTATGGTGACATTGTTCAAATGTCCCTTTTATATACATTCTACACAATATCCTTTTTATATACATGATTTTATTTTTATGTACATTATTTTATTTCATTTTATATACATCAAAAATGAGATAATATCATATTATTTGAAATAATAACATAATAATGAAATAGTAACAACCTAAAATACAGCTACAGGCCCGCAATACCTTGTTCATAATCTTTTTCTAAAACTCTGAAAACCAAAAGTTCTGGGAAAACTCACGTAATGACAAAGCCTCTTCATAATCTTTATCCCATTTACTTGAATATGATACATTTTGCTGCAGAAATAGTAATGTGTTTCCTTTTGGAGGGCTTTCCAGGTCTTGCTTGCTTTGTTTCAATTTATGAATCATATGCAACATATTACCTTTCTAAAATCTAAAAAAATTCTGAATTCCAAAACCCATCTATCTGCAAGGGTTTTGGTTAGACTCACACTGTCATCCCAATTTTGTAATTGGGGTCCTTTGGTTCAGAAAAACTAAACAATTTACTCAGGATCATGGAGGTTTTTGGTTCATGGATTGAACCAAAGTTCTCTGATGCAAAATCTTTTATTTTTTTTCTACTACACCAACACTTCCATTAATCTGAAATTGAGCATTGAGATAATTGTCTGTCTTATGAACATAAAAGAGCTAAAGTTGGTCAGAGACTGTGCAGATTTAGTCATTGCAGTGGAAGCTGAGGAAGAACGAATAGCACAGGGCCTGGGGATGGGGGTGGGGTAGGGAGGTCTCATGTGGAGAAACCTCTGCTACCTGAAGGAAATGATTTCCAAAACTTCATCTCATTCTCGTGCTAAAGTGTGGTACATGAAGTAGGAACTGACCACTGATCATTCCATAGATGTCTTGTGAATAAATTAGATGTAGATGTGACCTAAGATAGTACTGTAATGCCACATCTATTTTTTTCTAATCATAGGTTTTTTATTTGAGGTTGAGTGTTACCAGATCTCTTTGGTGGAGAGAGAGTAAGAACACTAAATTATAAGGTTGGCACTTGTATCAGTCAAGAAAATCTAGGTTATGCTGCAGTAACAAATAACTCACAAGGCTCTGTGGCTTAAAACAGTAAAGATTTATTTCTTTTTTATGTAACATGCCCATCATGAGAAATTAGGGGAGGCTCCACTCATTGCAGTCACTCTGGGACTTGGGATGACAGTGCAGCCACAATCTCACACATGGTTTGCTACACAACAGAAGGAAAGAGAAGCAATAGCTTGCCCTGGCTCATTAAGGATCTGCCTAAGAGTGATACACTGTCACTTCCACTCAATACAGCTCATTGGTCAAAATGAGTAATTGAGCCACACCTAACAGCAAGTGGGCAGGAAGTCCAAAATTCATGAATACTGAGATTTTCAATAAATTGACCTGTCCAATAAATATTTCCTTGAGTGTCTGCTAGTGCTCAGCCCTGTTCTATGCACTAGAGATTAAAAATTGTGTTAAATGCTATGAAGAGAAAGAAAGCAGGATAAGGGGAATTGAGTGACAGGGCTGAGGAGGGAGAGGAGAAAACAAGGCCAGGGAAGGACTCTCCAAAGCAGAGACCCAAAAGAAAACAGAAGGAAGAGGCTGGGTAAGGGAGATGCTGTCTTTAAGGCAGAAACACGACATCACGGACCCAAATCTCAGGAAAATCCAGAATGATTCTCAAAATAGGGACAGAGAGGTGAAACATCAACCAGTAAGTATTGGTGGGGCTGAAACAGCCCAGCTCCTTCTCTTCCAGCCTTTTAAGACACGTCCCACTTCCTTCTTTTTCTGACTAAAACAACACATGTGACAGAACACTTCCTTTTTCCCCATGGTTAAGCAGCATGCAAAAGAGCTTTACTTCAGGAGAGAATGGCAATCGGCAATTGTTTGGTAAACAAATGATCCCTCATTTATGCAAAATCTGTATTTCAGGTGTCTTAGGTGTTTTACATACTTTATTTCATTGAGTAGGGTTGTTGTAAGAAGGATAAATTATATAGGATTATTATTACCATTTTACAGGTGACAATCTATATAGAGGGGTAACTAACTTTCTGGGGTGGGGATGAAACAGATATTTCATAAAAAAGGTAGACTCTGGCTCCCAAGCTTGTGCTCTTGATTACTATGAAACATAGCAAACTGTAGACTTTCTGAAAGAAAAATTTGAGAAAATCTATATGTTCACCTGAATTGTTTCATAATTTAAAGATAGAATTGCCCCTATCACAGGAAGAAGGAACATTATCTAGACCTCTTTGCTAGATTATTCCTCTTCTGGAATAATAATAATTATTACTGTAATTAATAATTATTATTTAGTGTTATTCCTCTTCTGGGATAATAATCAGATTGAATTTATTTGCTTCCTGTCTCTCACCACTAGAAAGTAAGCTCCATGAGTGTCCACTTTTTTCTCACTTTTATTCTCATGCCTTCCACCATAGAAAAGCACTTTACATACAATTAGTAATTATAAATGAATAGTTAGAATGGATGAATGAGTGAGTGAATGAATGAATAGGAGAATTCAGGAAAAGTTCTCTTACTTGAGCAGGAGATCTTAATCTGGGGTACATTAGTGGACTTGGGGGTATCTTTTAATGCCTTGAAATTACATGCAGTTTTGTGGGGAGAAGAATGTATTTGTGCGCGTCATCAGATTTTCAAACAAGGCAATAATCCACAAAAGTTAAAACCACTCTGTGTGGCATATTCATACAATGGGATATTATTCAGCTCTAAAAAGAAATAAAGTTCTATACATGCTACAACATGGATGAAGGTTGGAAACATTATGCTAAGGGAAAGAAGCCAGACACAAAAGGCCTACATTCTGTATGATTCCATTTATATGAAATGCTCAGAAAAGGAAAATCCATAGACACACAAAGTCGATTGGTGGTTTGCCAGAGCCTGGAGCGGGAGGAGAGGGTAGAATGAGGAGCAATTGCTTAATAGGTATGGGATTTTGTTTGGGGTGATGAAAATATTCCGGAACTAGATAGTGGTAATGGTTGCATAACACTGTGACTATACTAATGGCCCTGCATTTTCATCTTAAAATGGTAAGTTTAGCGTGAATTTTACCACAATGGTAATAATAATAAGAAAAAAATTACTTTATGAATAAAGGAAAGAAGCAGAGTCAAATTATTTCATACATCTAACAGGATGGATGGTGGAATATGAGTCTGAGAAGTTGTCAGTTACAATCTAATATTCTAATAATATTTGGAATGAGAATATTTATAACACTAGGGGTAACAACTTTCATTTGTTTCAGGTTTTGCAGTTTTGAACAACTTTCCAAATGCATTATTTAATTTAGCTGTTAGAAAAAACTTATGAGATAGTCAGGGTAGATACAATTTCATGATTATCTCTACTTTAAAAATTAGAATGATGAGGTTCAGAGAAGTTAAGTCATTTTCCCAAAGTCACATAGCTACCAAATGGTAAAATGAGACTGTAAACCTAGGTCTGCCTGCGCTTTTGACAATTTGGTTCTTCCAGCTCTTCTCAACCTTTCACATCTTTCCAGAAATCACAAGTATTCCTGTGGTCAGCCTCCCAACCCAGGTGAGAAAAAATGTCACGTGTCTTCTCTTGTGTCTAGAATGACATCATCTCAATGTGGTCATACTGGGTACCTTACTGTGATCAGAACTTCCGATTAGAAATTACAGACATCTATGGTCAATGAAAATACTAGGAAAAGCCGCATTTTTCTAATGTCAATTATTACTTAAGCAGTGTTTTTCCTAGTATTAAGTATTACTTAATAAATGTAAATTTTTGAGAATGAGAATGTTTCCAAATGTGGGATCAATGGTTAAAAAAAAAAAAAAAAAAAAGTCTTTAAAGCTAGTGAACGACACTAAGATCTTGTCTAAGTTCCTCATCTTACCAATGAGAAAAATTGGCACAAAGAGGTTAGTGGCTTATCTGAGATGACACAGAGAGTTAGTTTCAGAAGTAAGAATGAAACTCAAGGCTTTTAAATGCTCAATAAAAGCCCAAGGTAGCCAGCCTTCCAACGGAGTACCTCAGAAGAGATCATTTAGTTTGTGTATTTAGCCATCCAAGAATAAGCCCACATTTATTGTGAACACAGAAAGAATTAGGGATCCAGTGGTAATAAGTGACCTAAATGTTTAAAATTGGCCTCAAATGAATCCATTTTCTACCTTTTGTTGTTTCCACTGTGCTGAAGCACAATGACGTAGTGACTTTATAATTTTAGCCAGGAGTGGCCAATTATCCAGAACTTGCCAGTCCTATTTTGTAAACACAGTTGGTAGCTGAGTGAATAATGCAGGGCTGTAGTGTCATTTTCATGCACAGAGACACAGCCTTAGAGATCTTCCAGGCTGGGTTTCCCCAACCACAGTCAACTGACAGCCAGGGAGGAATGTTTACTGCCCCGGGCAGGTGGGCAACTCCACCTTCCTCCTCAGAGAGACCCTTTTGCTTGGCTCCCCTCCCCTCTGAAGTAGGGTGGAGGTGTGCAATCAATGTTTCTAAGAAACAGCATTAGCCATCTTGGGGGAGAAATGCGGGAGAATACTCAAAAGAAGACCTGTTAGAACAAAATTAATTTAACAAAGCTCCTCAGTGTCTGCTTTGAGCTGGAAGGAAGATGTTCAAAATCATGTAGATTAAACCTTCACTGCCCCCATGAAGAAACTCAGGCCAGAGAATGGATGCGACTTGCCCAGAGTCACAAAGTCAGGATATAGTAGTCAAGGCCAGCCTGAGATCCTCTAAATTCCAGGCCAGTGCCTTCTCATACCTCTTCACATTCTCAGTCATTCTCTTTTAGATAAAATAACCATGATTCATAACACATCAATGCCACATTAGGCATTGAATATACTACATATTCTGCATGATTCCTTGGTTATATTTTGACTCATATGTGCAAGGTTATGGGTTTTTGTCCTATGCACCCATATCTCTTAAGGACAAGTACAGGGCCTGTCTTGTAGAAAGAGTGTGTGATCTGTTTAATGGCAACATGGATGATATGGATGAGACCGTGTTGGGTTATCCTGTGACACACCATCTTTTCCTTGGAGTGTCAAGCCTTCTCTTGATGTCCACTTTACAGTCCTTTTTTCTACCTGTTGAAATTTTTCAAGCCCCAATCAAAAGCTGCCTTCTATTATCTCTAGTGGAAAGGAAACTGCCAAGACTCTGACATCAGACAGCCTTGGAGCTGGGTGCTACCTTGACTACTGGTAATGCATGACGCAGGCAAGTCACTTAAACTCTTTGAGGTTCCAAATAACCCATTGTAAAACAGTTAATAATACTGACCTCATTCAATTTTTCTGTTGAAAAAAAAATGGGTAAAATTCCCAGCATAGCATGTGCCACATAGTAGCTTCTGTTTTTAAAGAAGTTTTTAATTAACAAGTAAAAAATACATATATTTATGGTGTACAACATGTTTTGATATATGTATACACTGTGGAATGGCTAAATTAAACTAATCAACGTACATATTGCCTCACCTACTTTTATGGTGAGAATACTCAAAATCTACTCTGTTAGCTATGTTCCAGTATACAATATAGTCACCATGATGCACAACAGATCTCTTACACTTATTCCTCCTGTCTAACTGAAATTCTGTGCCCTTTGACCAACATCTCCTCAATCTCTCTAACCCCAGTCTCTGGTAACCACCATTTTACTCTTGGTTTCTATTTAGTTCAACGATCGTAGATTCCACATATAAGTGAGATCATAATGTATTTGTCTTCCTGTGCCTGGCTTATTTCACTCAACATAATGTCCTCCAGGTTCATTTCATTTTGTTACAAATGACAGCATTTCCTTCTTTTTAAAGGCTGAATAGTATTCTACTGTGCATATACAGCACATTTTCTTTATCCATTCATCTGTTGATGGACACTTAGGTTGACTCCATGGCTTGGCTATTGTAAAGAGTGCTGCAGTGAACATGGAAGTGCAGATATCTCTTCAACATACTGATTTCGTAGACTTTATATATAAATTAACAAAGTTAATTCCCTTCACCCGGGAGACGTCTTCCTCCTCAGGGTCCTATGGCTCTTTGCTTACTCTTCAGGTGTTTATTACGCATCATTTCATAGATTATCAATGACCTTAGAACAATTCTATCTTCCCACTAGAATATTAACTTTCTTGAGGGCATTACTAGGTCAGACAAATCTTTGCCTTTGCCCCACCATGATTTCCTACAGCATCTAAAACAATGCCTAGCACAAATCTGACACACAAAATTTATTTTTGTAAAATTGGATTGTAGTGTCTGTGTGTGTTGGTGATAGGGCTGAGGGCATACTATTAAATACCTTTTAGAGTATTTGTCTGCAAATAACAGCTCTCTTCTGTTGTCTTATGTATTTCTGTATGTTATGTCTTCTATTTTTCCTCTAGGATTAGGTAGCTAGGTTCGTCAGTGACACCCTTTCATTGTATGTGAGCATCTGAAGAGCTGACAGTCCCTCCGAGAGGGACCAAACTGTGTTTCTGTGCTGTCTCATCATGCTCCCACCAAGAGGAAGTGGTATTTCAGGGACAGCAGATGACAGGGTGATGTCACCCTTCTCCGTCAGTGCTCATTTCGTTTCTTCAATTTCAACGAAGACATGATAGAAAAGGTTGTTCCCTTATCACAGGGTGGCCTCTCTGTCTTATTTATTAGTGAAAATAAGGAAGGTTCCCCTTCACCCTGCCCTTCATTATACAGCTTCCCATTTCAGTCCTTACCTTTTGGCCTGACTTTCTGGAAGAAGTAAAGTCCAGTAACTGAAACTCAAATATTAAATTCATAGATCCTTCCTTCCATCATCCATCCATATCATAATCTAAAGGAATAAAAGAACTGTAAAATTTTTTTAACAGAGTCAGGGTATCGAAGCTTATGCATTCCCAAGAAAACAATTAAGGTTAACAAATATCTGTAAAGTATTATTACCAGGCAACATTTATGGAGATTTTATTATGATCAAGTCACTGCGCTTTATGTTTTGAGTATCTTGTTCACTCCTCATCAAGCCCTATGTGGAGGGTAGTAATCTGCCCAAGATCCTGTGACTAGTAAGGGGCAGGGCTGAGGTTTAGACCTGTGTTTGTCTGTCTCAAGAGGCTGCATTCATAATAATTACCTACTGCCTCACCCATCTGCACCTGTTGCAGTAACAGAATGCTCTCAACCATTATGTTACTGCTACTGGGGCAGAGTAACACACTCAAAGTCACTGAGTCATGAGTTAGTGATCTGGAAGTAAATAATTCATATCCCCCTCCCTCAAGAAGAAGCTAACAATTTTTTTAAAGTACATGCATATACAAATATATATATATATATGTACACACGTGTACATATGCATTCTATATATAGAGAATGTGTGTGTATATATAATTATAATTATAATATAGAGTGACTTGATGCTATATTTATGCTACAAACAAATGGCTACAGAAGCTCCCAAGAGGCAGAAATAAGTTTTAAGTTGAAATCTGGGTAACAGAAAGAACTGAATATATAATCTGCACCAGAAGTTATTCTAGGTGCTTTCACGTGGATGATCTCATATCATTTTACTTAACTACAAAATACCTCTATGTGATAAGTGGGTAATATTACCCCCATTTTACAGATGTGGAAAGCAGGTCTCATAAGCAGTTCTCATATAATAAGAGCAAACACCTATTTAGCATGTACTATATATTAGGCACTGTTGTAAACATTCCACATGAATTGATTCATTTAATCTGCATAACAGTTCACTATACAGATGCAAAGACCATTTTTAAGATGAGGAACCTGAGGCCCAGAGTGCTTAAGTCATTTACCCAGGGTTTTATCACCAATCGGAGGTGACATCAGGTGGAGGGACTCTTGGGTCCTTGCTCTCAACCATTATGTTATTGCTACTGAGGCAGAGTAACATGCTTGAAGTTACCAGCTGAAAGGCACAGAGCCAGGGTTTGGTCCCTGTCTGTCTGTCTGTCTGTCTGTAATAAAGACAATACTCTTTCTAAAAATTTATTATAAAATATTTTATACCGCAAAAAGAGACTGGAAATGTAGGTTGGAGTAAAGTGCTCTAAATGCCATAGTAATGAGTGAGAACTCAGTCTATGTCAAGGGATGCCCTCAAAAGCATTTTGAGCAGGAAATCAAAATGCAATATGTTTAAGTCTGCACTGAGGAGAAAAAAGCTAACTAGAATGTACAGAACAAATCAGATGGAGCGAGGCAGAAAATAACGAAACCTATTAGGAGGATGCTGCAATAGTCCCAGGAGGCATGAGGAAGGTCTGAGTAAGAAAAGGGTCACAGTAAACTGATAATGGAGGGTGAGGGGTATTCAAGACAATTTTTAGAGATGGCATTAGCAGGATTTATCCAACGTGCAGCAGAGCGACAAGCCCAAGAAAACCCCAAAGTTTCTAACTTGAGTGATTAAGGCAAAGACGATGCTCTTAAATGATTTGGGTAACACGGCAGGAGAGGAAATTTTAGTCATGTTGAGTTTCTGGCACATGTAAACCTCTTAGTGAAGAAAACCAGAAGATAGACATTACAAGAATTAAGAATTATTCAATATCCTAGTAAGAATCTAGTAAGAATTTAGTAGGAATTGTTTAGTTTTCCAGTTTCTGGCTTCCTAAGAAACCTTCGGGGTTGAAGAAATGAATCTGATCTTTGGAAGCTGTTTTATCTAATGAAGCAGCCGTTACAACCTGTGTTCTGCAACAACACATACAAAAGATGTCATTAACAGGCACAGCATCTCCTTAGCCACACCAAGATGTCTTAGAATCTTCAAGTTAAAGGAAACAGGTGGTAAATTGTGCACACTTCCCCGAGTACCAGCTATAATTCCAAAATAAAATCTTTTCTTAAGAATTTCTGGCCGGGTGCAGTGGCTCATGCCTGTAATCCCAGCACTCTGGGAGGCTGAGGGAGGTGGATCACCTGAGGTCAGGAGTTCAAGACCAGCCTGGCCAACATGGTGAAACCCCATCTCTACTAAATATACAAAAAAATTTAGCCAGGCATGGTAGTGCATGCCTGTAATCCCAGCTACTCAGGAGGCTGAGGCAGGAGAATCGCTTGAACCTGGGAGGTGGAGGTTGCAGTGAGTAGAGATCGCGCCATTGCACTCCAGCCTGGACAACAAGAGTGAAACTCCATCTCGAAAAAAAAGAGTTTCTACTGATGGGAAAATGTTTGGGATGTAGTCAGGTTAAGTGAAAAAAGCAGGGGAGAAAAAATTAATGTTTTCTAAAAAAGTTAACATATACATACATGAATACACAGTCATGCATTGCATAAAAATGTTTTGGTCAACAATGGATCGCATATACGACAGTAGTCCCACAAGATTATAATGGAGCTTAAAAATTTCTATCGCCCAGTCATGTCTCAATTGTCCTGACCCTGTGTAGATCTAAGCTAATGTGAGTACTTGTGTCTTCGTTTTTAACAAAAGAGTATAAAAAGTAAAAACCAAAAAATATTTTAAATAAAAAAGCTTACAGAATAAGGATACAAAGAAAGGAAATTTTTGTACAACTGTACATGTGTTTGTGTTTTAAGCTGTTATTTCAAAAGAGTCACAAGTTTAAGCAAATTACAAAGCTTATAAAGTAAAAAATTACACTAAGCTAAGGTTAATTTATTATTGAAGAAAGACTATTTAAAAAAATAAATTTAGTGTAAGCGTACTTAGCCTAAAAGTACAGTGTTTATAAAGTCTACACTAGTGTATGGTGATGTCCTAGGCCTTCACATTCACTCACCATTCATGCAAGCTCCATTCATGGTAAGTGCCCTGTAGAAGTGTACCATTTTTTATCTTTTATACAGTATTTTTACCATACATTTTCTATGTTTAGAATACAAATACTTACTATGGCGCTGCAGTTGCCTACAGTATTCCGTTCAGTAACATGCTATCCAGGTTTGTAGCCTAGGAGCAATGGTAGGTATGTAATAGGCTACACCATCTTGTGTAAGTATACTCTATGATGGTCACACAATGACAGAATTGCCCAAGGACACATTTCTCAGAACATGTCCCTATTGTTAAGCCATGCATGACTGCATATACATAAATATACAATATATACTATATGTATACATATATTCATGTATACATATATATTACACATAGAATAAACACTAGAGGAAATGTACCACAATATTAACATAGGTCTTTCACTAATTGATTATTTATTGAGCACCTACAATATACCAGGCATTGTGTAATTCATTAGATATGGTGAGAAAAAATGGACCTAGTTGCTGCCCTCATAGAGTTTATGGTTTAGGGACTAAGCCTAAGATAAGAATTTAAAGACATTATACTTGAGAAACAGCCTAAGTCCAGAATCCTTTTAGTCTTTTATAGTTGGCTGAGTCCTTGCTTTCAGTCATTATGTTACTGTTCTGTAGGGATCAAGTAATATGCCCAAAATTACCACCTAGAAAGGAGCAGAGCCAGGATTTGGATCATGTCTGTTCCATACCCAATTGACACCAATTCTTTTAGTGACTCACCATTATCAAGTGTTTCTAAGACATTCAACTTAGTTTTCATAGAAATGATTCTCTTTTGCACTCGTATTTCATTTATTTGGATAGTATATAGTTAAATTCTACAGTTAACGATAACAAGTATAATTGGCATTTCCATCTTTGTGAATGAACACAAGTGAGTCTTGGTGAGCAGGGACTCACCAGGGTGGGCACAGATCCCCAAACCCACTGGCTGCCAGCATTCAGTGTGCCATGGGCATTGGTTGGCATAACTTAAATAAGTAAGAGTATATGTCAACCTAATAAGTCAAGTAAATAGAAACTGATTAAAGGAACATATACTGTGCCATATTTCTGGTCACACAACTTGAGACTGCCATAACATTAGGCAGTGAAATCATATTGAGTTCCCTATCAGCTGAAACATTATTTCATCATTATTATATCTACCTCTAAGTCACAATTTAGTACTTGTTTTGGGCTGAACTATCTGCCTCCCAAAATGTATATGTTGAAGTGCTTAACCCCTAGCACCTCAGAATATGACTGTATTTGGAGATATGGCCTTTAAAGAGGTAATTAAGATAAAATAGGGTCACAAGAGTTGGCCCTGATCCAATATGACTGGTGTTTTTGTAAGAAGAAGAGATTACAGCACACACACATGTAGACTGAGGGGTGACCTTGTGAGGACACAGCAAGAAGTTATTATCTGCAAAGCCAAGTGAAGAGGCTTAGAAGAAACCAGACCTACTGACACCTGGATCTTGGACTTCTAGCCTCTAAAACTGTGAGAAAATACACTTCTATTGTTTAAGCTATCTGATCTTTGTTATTTTCTATGGCAGCCCTAGCAAACTAACACATTATCTCAATGACTACCCCATGTTCAGCACTCAAATATTGATTAAATGAATGAATGATTAAGAAACATATCTTTCCCTCATCTTCAATTTTTGTAGTTAACTTTTTGGGATCCCTACTACAGAAACTAAAATAATAATAATAATAAGAAGAAGTATATGTACTCTAGTTATCCATCAGTTCTGAAATTTGAAGATAAGAGAGTGTATCTTCTTTTTCATCCATTCCTAACTCTTGATTCTAGAACTAGGTAAAGGAGTTCTTGTAAGTTCCAATTTAGGAACATGTTCACATGATCAGAGCTAAAATCCCAGTGCTATTAGAACATCAACTGCTTCTTGAAAGCCTTAAATTTCCTTGTGCTGGGCAACCAAGTCTCTTGGGGCTTTGCTGAGGCCCCTCGTGCAAACAGACAAGGCTGGGACGTGAAACGGCCAAGAAAATTGTCAG